TATCAAGTATCAAGCGAAGTCGTCGGTTCTGTGTGATAAGAGACAACCGGCTGGCAGGCCATCGATTATGCTTGTCTTACGTGAATTCCCCAGTCATTTGGACATATGGACACACATATACACCTACACCCCTACACATTCAAACTAAGTAGTCAGGGGTTTAAACAAAATGCAATACATGTACACGAAATAGTGAAAAAAAATCGAAAATAATAGATTTTGTCGTTTGTCGGCTGGCGCCAAGGCGCTTAAGCAAATTGTCATGTGTGCATATATATAGTATATATAGAATACAGATACGTATACGCGATATTTCGATAGAAAGGGGCGTGTGAGGGGTTGTTCCAATTCGCCAATTCTCTTATTTGTTTTTGCCAATCTTCTGCCTTTTTTTTTGTCTTTTTCTCTGGCAGAGGGTATAATGATGTTTGTATGTTTTAGCTATAATCATGATCAGTTTCTGACTAATTAATTATGATGAACTTTATACAGATTTGAAAAGGGTACTCTGTTTTTCCTCTAACAACAATGCTTTCTTTCCAAAAAGTTCAGTTTAACTCATAAGATCAAAGCGATTAATTCAGCTTAAAACCAAAATAAAAAGTTAACCAAAGGACATTGTCTATAAATAATAAAAGTTTATATTTTAAAGGGTATAAAAGCCAGATATAATTTCCCTGATTTTCGTCTATCGTTTCCTCTTCTTATATTTGTTTTTGTTGTTGCTCCTTTTGTGATTGACAGCAACAACAAACTGAAACGGACAAATAACAAAACGTGGAAAACAGAGAGTGAGAGGGAGAGAGAAATAAATAAATTAAACAATTTCTGAAAACATTTAAAAATAGTGCGCAAATTGCTATTTTTATTATAGACGAAAAAAAGAGAATGCAAAAACCAGCGACAAAAACAAAACAAATGCGACAAAGACTTGAAGACAATCAATTCTGCGAGAGAAAGAGAGGGCAAGAAAAGCTTATCACTTGAGTTCTCTCTCTCTCTGTGTGTGTTACTCTCTTACATCGTTTGGCTTTTACACACGTGAATTATTTTTGTTTTTGTCTCGTCTCTCCCTCTCTCTCACCACGCTCTTTAACTGCGTCTTCTAATTGCATTCTATCGTCGTCTGTTTTGTTTTGTTATTGTTTTCTGATTTCTTTACCGCCTTCCGTCTCTGTCGCACTCTCTCATTCCGTCTTCCTCCTTTGCTCTCTTTCCGATTTTGTTATTGATCGTGCCTCTGTGCATTGCACATTATCGCCTTGTTTGTATTTGTTGCCATTTTTCTTACAATAACAAAAAAAGGGAAAAATTATGGCCAAACGTAAACACATTTTTTATTGCGTTTCTGTTTTTTAAGTTTTAAAAAATTTTGAATTGCATCATTTCCAATATTTTTTGTTCATTAGCTGCGTACTTTTAATATTGAGTTCTTTTAGTTTTTAAAATATGAGTAGTAATATTATTTTATATTTATTATTTAATTTTTGATTTGTTGATTTTTTCAACTTTTTAATTTATTTTACATACATTTTACTTGGCTAATAAGTTTCTTACATTCTACATGAAATATACTCTTCATTTGGTTGCACTACTGAAACTGCTTAGCAGGTTTGTGTACTTGAACTGCTTTATTACAGTTTCAGAGCCACTGAACTTGGATGAATAATTCAGTACAGCTAGAGCATAGTAACAAAACTGTACAAAGCAGTTCTAATGTCAGCTCAAAAATTGAAAAGCAGTTGTGAGCAGTTTGTGATTATGAAGCAGTTCACAAACGCCCTCTGGCGGAATACAACCATACTTAAGTGTAGAAAATAAGATGTTTCCTTCTTTAGTAAGCAGTATAATTCATTAGTAAATGTAGAAATGTACAAGCAGTACAAAGCAAGAAGTAAAATTTGAAAATTGATATTTTTTATAAGAAAATGCGCAAATATTTCTGTTTTAACTATTTACTAAACAATATTTTCTTTTATTTTCAGGTAAGCAAAAATAAATGAAACTGAAATGTTTGTCCCCTAATATCCTTTGCGTAAGTACTAGACATCAGCATATATCCCAAAAAACCTTTCATTAAAAAAAACATGCATTCCTTTTGTCTTTCTCTACTTATGTTTCTATCGCTGTCTCTGTCGTATCATTTAATGCATAAAAACAATTTAATCAAGCATCAAAAAAACTAACTTGTAAATAAACTTAGACTAGAGAAACATTGTAAATTAAAAGTTAAATTAATTATTATGTCCGCATGAGAAAAGTTGAGAATTCATTTATTTCGTGGAAGTGAAAACATTTTTTTTGAACTCAGTTTTTCTTTTATCACAATTAAGATGTTTAATCTTGAATTCAAAACAATCCAAAGTCATGCGGACACTTTGTAGTTTCTGTAGTTTTTGAAGTTTTCCACTCCCTTTTCTTCCCTACTTTTCTATCTCCTTTCGCGCTTACGCAATCCTTTCTGCTGTCCTTTCAAGCTAATTGTGCTGTCAAATCAAACTGCCGAAAAGCGCAAGGAAAACATTTGGAAATCAACTTACGTAAATAGAAACCAATGAAAGACAATTCGTAAATAAATTTCGTCTTGGCGGTTAAAAGTGGTCAAAAGCAGCAGCAACAGCAACAGCAGCCAAGGCGGCAGCTAACGATGAAAATTCGCAGATAAACTGCGAAAACAAAACGATTAATTTACCACCACTCCCCCCCGCGATTCCTTTGAGCTGACTGCAAATTTCTTTTCAGCGATTTTTTTCCGTTGTCTTATCTGCGATCGCAGTTTTCCGAGGCTCCCGTTTTGGGAATTCTCCCTCTCTCCCTCCGCTCTCTGCAGTTTTTCTTCTTTCATCTTAGCTCCATTCACCTAATTTTCTTTAACAACAAATGCTTGTTTTTTTTTCTTTTTTTCTTTTTTGTTTTGTTTTTGAAAACTTTTATTTCCTTGTTGGCTTTGGGGCGACAACAACAGCCACAACAACAACAAAGGGGAAAACACAATGGTAAATGAAAATGGTAATGGAAGGAGGAGGGGTGAAAATGCTGCATGTAATGTGCATTTAATTTGTTGCTGCAACAACAATGCAGCCGCAATTTTCCATAGTTTTCAATGGGGTCGTTTTCTTTTTTCCCTCCTGTTTTTTCCCATTTTCGTATTGTTTTAGTTTTTTTTTTTGTGTGTGTTACCCATTTTTGTTTTGTTCATTTTATGCTAATTTTGCTACTTTGCCAGCTATTATGCAAGCAGCAAGTGGCAGAAGAAAGGATGATGACAGCCCAGTTGCCAGGATGACACTGGGTTTTCCTTTCAAGAGGATGATTCGAGAAAATTCGGGTGAAAGTATTGAAAATTAGGCAGTGAAAATTATACACAGGAAAACACTATAAACTACAAACCATTTTCCTAATCAATTTCCTTCTCATCTTCTGCTTAACTTTTTTACATCCTGCTAATTTCCGCAGCCAAGAGATAAACTTGCTCTCTGTAAAGTTACATTTTTTGCAATGTGGGGCACATTAAAAAGTTTCCCGAAACTTAAAATTAACAATTAAAATCGTGGCGGGAAAAGCAACAAAAAATAAACCAACTTGTAAAGGCAAAACTTTTACTGCACTCAAAAAAAAAAAAAAAAAAAAAGAGGCGGAAAATGTGAAACCACAAACCCCAAAAAGCAAAAACAGACATGTGAAGCCCATTTTATTCCCCTGAGAATGATCCAAAAAGAAAAGGAAGGGAAACTGCCGCTGGACTGCAGCTGAAAATAGTTGTTGTTGGCCACAGACTTTTCTTGAATGTTGTTCCTATTTTCCAGCACTCAGATTGTGTTGTTTTTCTATACGAAACATTGGAAAATCAGGAAAAACAAACTACTAAAATATTGAACTACAAGTATGAAAAGTTTGAGGAAAACTCCTCTTTCCACGCCTTGTTGCTTTTAATTTATGACTTTTGGCTTTAGGAGGAGAAACAGCTTGACTTTGTTTAAAACGGAAATATGTTTTCCACCCTCAAAGGAAAAACACAAAGTTGTCATCACTCTCGGTCACAGATCAAACGATTTCCAAAAGGAAATGTTCGTGATTTTTCCTTCTCTTTTTTAGCCTATTTAAGGAGATTAATTTGCCACAACGTAATTGACAAATTTCTGCACTTCCCCGGAGATTTTTTTGGTTTTTGTCAGTTTCATTTTCGCTGCATAAATTGCATGTGGCATGCCACATCCATCATCTGCTGCTGCAGCAGCATAATTCGCTGTTGCATCCTCGGCAGTTGGATGCTTGTTTTTATGCTGAGAATTGGAGCGCATCGACACGTTGCCGCAAATGTTGCATCATAATTTTGCCAGTTGCTGATGTTTTGTTGGCAAATGAAGTGGAAATTGAGTTGGCTTTTTCGTGTTCCGATGCAGATTTTTCTCGTGGTTTTTGTAAATTAAAGTTTGAATGTTGACAGGGAATAGTTTAAGGGAATGAATTAAACAAATTTAACAAAAATCATGACACTTTTTTATTCAAAATCATTGCCATAATGATGAGAAAAAGCACACTTAACCAAGTTGATTGGCATTTAAAACCTTTGATTGTCCAAAAAACACTTTCATTTCAACTTAAAAACCAAGAAACTCAAAAAATTAGTTGCATAATCAGGCTATATCGAATCATAAGATTAAGTTCACCCGATTGTTTGCCACCGATCACAGTTCACTTTCGATTCGCAGCTTGATCACTTCATAAGCAGCAACACCAAATCGACTTTTGTTGCCTGCCACATCGAATCCTTTCCCTTCCCCTCACCCCCCTTAAATATGAAATTTTATTATAATTTCAAATTGGCAATAGCACAAAATTGCAAATCTAATGAAATCTATATAATCTAAAGCTTCTTCCAAACCTCTCTCTTATACCTATAAACTTTTTATTTTTTATTTTGAAAAAAAAATGCGTGCGACCTTTTGCTTTGCCAACCATCCAAAAAATCGAAAACGAAAAAAAAAACGAAAACCCAGCTTAAGAACCACTTCGATCCCTGGCGGAAATCGGAAACGGGCCTTTAGCAATCCTCATATAGGAGGTCCCAATGATCCAACCTTCATGCACCGACTGAACCCTCAACTGTATTACTACAACAAATCGCAGTCGGGCAGGAGTTCCTTTTGCGTGGATGAGTCCTTGTGGCCAACGAATAATCCCAATGGAACTGTTAGCGATACCAACTTGTATATGGGTTCGAGTACAGATGAGGACTATGAGGAGGCCATTGATCAGTTTTCCCCCACGATGTATACTAGGAATGCTGCAAGTCGTGCCATTCCCATTCCAAGTAGTGCTGGGAATAGTCCACAACATCAGATGCATCATTCGCAGCCAAGGTTTGCTGCTGCTGCTGGTGGGATGAATCATTTTTTGGCAGGAGGAGGAGGAGGTGCAGGACCTTCGACGGCGGGTGCTTTCAGTGCCAGCCCCTCGATCTACGCCTATCCACATTCACCCTTCTATGCCAGTTCACCGGAAACCTCGCTCTCCTCGCCAGTTCAAACTTCCGGATTGCCAGGACACCATCCGAATGTCAGTTCACGCATATCCTTCAGCTATGATCCTGCCTTCCAGCGTTTGCAAGTGCCCATTATAGCCGGAGATCGCAGACCACGGTCACCGCTGGAATGTGCCACCGTTTTTGCTGCTGTGGCTGCGGCAGCCACCTGTGGCGGTGCCGTGGTTGGTGGTGCAGCGGATACCATGATCAACAGGTCGGTGTGGGTGTGATCTGATAATCTGATCATCTGATTTTCGGTTTCGGGTTCTAATTTTCATGTCTACTTGTCTACCTGTTGCTTGGTTTGTTTTTGTTCCCCTATTTTGGTGTCCTTCCCCCCTTTGAATGTCTTTGGTGTTCCTAATCGCTTGGCCTGTGGTGTTGCACGCTGAATGTTGCTCGGTATTTAAGTTTCTTTTTGTGGCAACTACTTCTTATGGAAAAGCTACAACATATCAACAGAACAACACTGACAAGATGTTTAGTTTTGGGGTTTTAAAAATGGTTTTAAAAGATAATAAATTTACTTTACATTCTAATATATTTATGTACTGACAAGGACTACATTTTAATGGAATATTAAAATATATTTCATTATATAAACTAAACTAAAATAACACATTTTGCTAACATTTTAAAGTGGATGAGTTTAGACGTCACTAAATTAACAAAATAATATTTGTCTTTGGATTAACACTCAAAATCACTAAAAACAAACTTCCAAAAGCTTCTCTTATATAGTAATAGTAATAATATTTGTAATTCCTTTCCTTAAATGTCTAAATTTTTAAACAAAATTAATTAAAATTTCGATTTATTTTACACCTCACATTTTTATATATTTTTTGATTAACTTAAAAGTATTATTTATCGACGTGTGGCATGAAATAACCATCATTTGTGGTGTTCAAAATTAAAAGCATGTTATTTTAAGTTGAAAATCAAAACTCATTCTGAAACTTTAGTTTATTTTATTTGTCTCTTAATAATTTTTTAATATTAGATACTATTAAATATTCCATTTTTATTCATCATTTGAAGAGTTCATCTAAAAGTTTTAACTTTGATTAAAATCCAAACGGAAAAAGTTTTCATACTACGAAATTTTATAATGAATTTCTTTAATAAGACTCTTAATTGAAAAGCCTTTTTAGTAGAGCCCACGATGATGCCTATCAGGAATTCCGAAACTTCCCTTTTAGCCTCCCTTTCAGCTTTCAATCAAGTTGCGTCATCCCGCAGGTGATTCATGTGGCTAAATCGCAAAATGCATCCTTTTCGTGGGCCAAAGCAATTTATAATCCAGTCGCGAGGGCCTTAAGGCTTCGTCTTCTTTTTTACCCTTTGCTTAATTATAAAAAACCAATCTTGGAGGAAGTTTCTTCCTTCCTTCTCCTCACCCGCTTTTGATTCCCAAACCAACTAAATTCAATCAACATTCAACGCATTTAAAAAGTTTTGCGAATTTGTTCTTGGTTCTGGGCTTTTGGTTTCTGAATTTGGTTTGGCAGAACGAGGAATGATGTCATTCCTAAACTTGACTTCTCTTGTAATTTTCGCTTCGTGTTCCGTTGATGATGATGATGACGATGATGCGTTAGCATTTGCTGGCTCATAAGCAATAAAAAAGCAATTCCTTTGAGGTGGTGGCCTGGCCACAACGCAATTTCTTGCCACCGAACTGCGCAAAAAGTGAAAAAGGGTCTCTCGATAGTTCCCCATCTCCTCCAGCCAAAACAGAATTTGTATCCCCACAAAGGCGAGGCTTTGTTTGGGGAAATGGCGCACTAAATTAGGTATCCACATGATGGGACAAAACATATAAAATGTTTTCAAGGGCCTGATAAATTACAAACAACAAAAAACATTCTATAAATGTCAACAATGTTGGCTTAAAGAAGACTTAAATGACGCAATTGTAGGAACTTTAACTGCGTTGCTATTTAGATTGCAGATGAGCTTACCAGCTAAGTAAACTATTTGAAAGTCTAGTTATGATTACCTTTAGTGACTCACACTCACTGACTTGACTCACTTGTAAAGTTCAAAGATAGCGCCTAATGTGTGCCATATAAGGAAGCGAGTCTATTTGCGGATGATTAATCGGGAAACTTTTTAACTTGAACTATGCTGAATGAATTGTGGTAACCCCCACGCAAAAATAACTCTGATTAGATACAAAGCTATCTCTGATCTTTGCAATTGGTAGATATAGTTAGGTGGTTGTACTTGAAAATGGAGGGGAAAATAATAATTCTTCAATGAGAGGGAGAATTAATAAGTTTTCTTAATTATTTTTTATGATTTTATACCATTAAAGGTGGTAAACTTAAACCTAAAATCTAGTTTTTCCATTCCTTTTTTTAAAGAAATCTTAAATCTAAGTGATTTTCTTGGCAAACCTCTCATCTCCTTCAACAGCAGTACAGTTCCCTCAAAAGCTGTTCAAACATCTCGAACTCGATCCTTTCTCTCTCCCCAAACTGCAGTGCAAATGCACTCAAAAAAGCGCAGAAAATGATATTCAGTTTGAAAATTTAAAAGAAAAAAAGAAGTTTGACTTGCTGAGGACTGAAAAAAAAAAAACACAAATTTTATTGGGGAGAAGAGCCAACTCAAGACTCAAGTTCAAGGTCAACAATCTCAGGGAGCCACCCGGTGTTCCTTTAGGTCTCTTAGTACATCTTTCTGGGAGGAAGCCAATGGAATGGAAGCTGCTGCTGACGACGACGACGACTACCCAGACCAATTAGAATTTCAATTAGGCATCATCTCGAACAACTTTGGCTTTATCTCACTCAAGAGAGGCGAATGGTGTTTGTTTGTGCCACTCTCCTTATCGAGAGGGTCGTCTCCTCCTTCTCCTCCTCCTCCTCCTAATATTCCCTCTTTCTGCCCCATAAATAAAAGTGAGCTCGATTTTTGTGTGGCTGCTGCTGCGGCTGAATGGTTTGCTTGGGATGATGTCAGCATTTATTTTTGGCACAAAATGCTTGCAGCCAGCCGAGCAAAACACAATGGCCAAAAAAATAAAATGAAAAACAAAAAGAGAAGAAAAAAGAAAGAGCAGACAACAAAAGCAAAACAAAACAGAAAACAAAACCAAACCAAAAAAGCCGCAAAACATGCCAAAAATAATATTCAAGTAAGGGAAAAATAAGAAAAATAAGAAAAAAGTGGAAAAAAAGAGCATAACTCGCACACAAACAATTATCTTATGGAAATGTCTTAAGGAGCCGGTGTGATGAAGTGTAGGCCAGAGGCCAGTCGTTCGTTTTTTTTTTTTTTAATGGCCAAGAGTAATGTACATGTTGGCCAAGATCTCTCTTGAAAACGATTCTTCTTGTTTACTTAGCTGTCTGGTCTGGCTTGAAGATTTCTCCCTCTCGCTGGCTCTGTTGTTCTTTGGCTTTTGTCTGGAGGAATTCTTCACCTTTCTTCAGCTGGCAACAAACCAAAGATTATTCTTCCTCGCCCACTTTGGTCTGCAGAGCAAAAATTTCGATTTATTTATTGGTTTTTTTCCACAAGTATATCTCTTGTCATGTCATCCCAAATTATTGCCTACTCGATGAGTCGTGGTTATTTATTTATTTTCTTCATTATTTTATTTAATATTTTTATATTTTTTATTTATTGATTGTGGTTTGTTGTCTGGTTTTTGTGTGTATTTTATAAATCTATATTTAGCCCTATGCCAAAAGTGTTTATTCACTAAACAAATTTTGGTTTTATTTCAGGTATGTTATGCAATTGTTTTTATTATTACCATTGCTTTGGTAAGTTTGTAAATATAGATGGTTATTTCTTCATCAATCAAAACAAGTTTTAACCTTCATTTTCAAGCTTAAGTACTGGAATAAGTTTTATAACTTATTTAGTTTGCCCTATCCGATTGCCATATTCACTTTAAATGTCAAATAATTAATAATATTTTAACAAACTCAGCTGAAAGCTACTTAATCTTATCAAAGATCACTTTGTGGTAAAAAGTACAGCCAATGTACAAATATAACTTTCTAAAAACACATAAAAATATATTTAGATATCCAGTTTTGAACACGTTACTGGCCTTACCGCCTTACAAGATAGTTCATGAACTATAATAACCATAAATCTAGTCCATAAGGAAGTGGTTGTTGAGGAGCCTTAACTGCCTGACTGCCAACTCCACTGTCCATACTAATCGATGCGATTACATTAGCATTAACCAGAGAGACATGTACAGTGGAAATGGATATAGCCATCGTTGGGAATGTTTGGGGAGAGAAGGGGAGAGAAAAAAAAGGGGGGAAACTTTGAAGACTAACGAGTAACAACAATGGCAAACGATGTCGACGCCATCATGTCTGGCACATTCGTTCGTTCGTTCGCTGGAAATCGTTAATTTTGTACCCTAAAACCCAACCCAGTGGCCCTCCCACCCGCAATCGAGGTGAACCACGAGTCAGAGACAAACCTCCTACAGATACACAGATACACTTTTCTTTATTTCCCTTCACAATGTTCAGTGCAATGTGTGTGCGGAAAATTACATTTAAATGGCTGCCACTTTAAATGTCTATTGCAGGGTGGGGTAGGGGAAAATACTATAGATCGTAGAGCAGAAAGGAAAGTTGGGTGGAAAGGGGGGTATTTATTATTAAAATTGTTTAGGATTGGAGGAGTGGAGCAGGGGTCTGGGCGATATGCAGAGACAAATGACACGTGGCAAATAGAAATTTTTAATAAACAGCAAAATCCCTTCTGGGAAGTCTAAACGGAGGGGGATCATGGAAACATTTTAATCGATATTTTGTAATACCAATATATCTATCAAACTATCTATGCCTTACATACCATCTAGCCGTGTCAAATATCTTTCTATTGCGGTTTCTTTTGAGGCTTTTGCGATTGTGTCCCCAGCAATTAACGCTTTTCGTTTTAATTACTTTAATTGGCATTGGCTTTTGTTTTCCAAAGAACAAAGTACCCGATGGGAAGCTCTGTGGCATCAATCTACTCATTGCAAAAACAAAGAGTATTCGCAATTAAAGGAATTACTGGGCATGCCCGTTGCATCTTGATACATTCCGATTGAACTTTAAAACGCATTTGATAATGCCCAGACAGCTGCTTCTTTGTGTTCTAGAGTGGCGTGAGCAGATTAGTTCAGGGTTGACAGGTGGGTCGTCAGTTCAGGTGGGAGATTAAAAAGACAAAGTCAGCTCAATT